GAGGTTAAGCTCAGTGGGGTGCTGGGTGGCATGGATGGGAGTCAGGAGAGTGAAACCTGGGGAGGGGGCTAGTCGACCCCAGTAAGGCAGCACGGTGTCATCTAATTTTAATTGCAGCTCTTTCAAAATGAGCAGTTGTAGCACATGCCCCACCCACCCCCAATGACTTTAGATCTCCCATGTCAGCCCCGTGGAGCTGTGCTCTGGGGTTTGGAGGTCTACCTATCCATGGTCATTTGAGCCTCTGGGGGAGCAATGCATCTGGGTGGCTCAGGCTCTCTTGTATCCATCATCCTGGAACCTCTTCTGGTGGCTGCTGAACCAACCAACAGCTACTTGGGGACCTGAACTTGTTTTGGCTCCATTCCCAGGTCCCTTCTTTCGATGAGAATCACACTTGAATACACATGACCTTATTGTGGGACTCATGTTTTGACAGTCACTGAAAGCTCTGGGAATGTTTCTGGTCAGGCCCTACCCCAGTTCCTGCCCACTTCTGTCCATGGGAGAGGAATGGGAAAATTGTTGGTATGTGGACTGTGTCCTCAGGAGAACTGAAGGTCCCTCTGCTGTAGTTGCAGAAGTGGCCAGAGAAGGCCTTTGTTAGAATTCATTGCCATGTGACACTGATCCAGCTGCAGGGTCTAGGGATCTTGGCACCATTTTAACCCCAAACAGCTGGTCCTCTTTTTAATCTGGTCATATTTGAGAGATTGAATAAGGACCTGTCTTCCAGGAATCCATTTAAGTGCATGCTTATCTTTGTCATATCACTGGCTGGTCTTTTAGTAAGAACTGGGGTGATGCAGGGTTCTGCCTGGTAGCTGACCCATCTCTTGGCAGCTCTCTCATTCCAGTTAGGACAACTGGGCTCCAATACCCTCAATCCCGGATCTGACAGTTCTCCCCCTCTTCTGGGAGTGAACCTTCTCCAGTCCCAGTTCTGCCCACTGACCTGTGGCCACTGCTCCAGAGAAAGCTATTTGGGCCTCTTCAAGGGCTGTCACCCCCCTCCCATTTCTCAAATGTTTATCTTTCCAGAAGTATTTGGGACTTCCCATTATTAGACTATAAATGCTTCCTTTAAAAGCAAGCAAAGCTTTCTTTTATGGGTGGGTATAAAAATTCTAAGATTTCTATATGAAATCCTGACTTCCCTTTATTCAGATAGGGCACGTTGCCAGGATTCTCAGCCCATTGGCCTGGGCCCACCCACATCAGCATAGTCACATCCAGGCCAGGGCTGGTGATCGAAGTCTGACCCCATATCATCTGCTCAAGCAGAAAGGTGGCAAGCTTGAGGTCAAGGAGTGTGAAGACAGAGATCCCAGTCTCTTCATGGACTAACTCTGGATGCCGAATAGGGTTGGGTTCTTTGAGGGCCATGGTTTCCCCATCTATCAAGTAAACAGACTGGATTATGAGGATTTGAGAGCTCTTCAAGGTGTTCATGACGTCAGAGTTGAGGAAGCAGTGAATGGTCCTACTTCCTAGGCCATGCCACTGGCCTGTGCTTGGCTAGACCTGGCTCCCACTCTCAGAAACATGGTATGATAGTCAGTTCTTGCTAGAAAAATCAGCTTCTGGTGAGAGGCACAGAAAGGTTTTGTGCGTGTGTGTGTTTTCGGAGGAGATAGGGCACATTTAGGGTGTTATAGCCATAGACTGTGTTTTCAAACAGGACCAGGTAGGTAGGGAAGAGGTGTGAACTGTAACCCTTTAGGGGCTAGATACTCAGTGAGGTGCTCAGTGGCAGCCCTTTCTGGTGAACAGACATCAGGTTGGGCAGAACGGCCTATTGTATAGGCAGCTTTATCAGTGAGTGTTGGCCCAATATCAACCCTTATGATTGTGGGGTGGGGACAGCATTGCTGAAATTTTGGAGCACCCAAGTGTGGAGGTACAGCTTTGTCCAGCCTTCAGTATGACCTCTGCCAGATCACCAGTGGGTCAGTGAAGGGTGACCAGTCTCTCCCCAGGACACTTCTACAACCTTCCATCGTCAGTGACGGTAATGCAGGCAGGAGACCATATAACATCCCCCTCTAGCCTTCCAAAAGAGCTAACTACACAGCTGAGGAGGAGATGGGGAGGCTGCGAAGATTCCGGGCTCACCCACCCTTCAGCTCTCTCCTTGGTCATCTGTAGTCTTTGCCAGGTGAGTTGCTCTTGCCTGGGGAACCTCAGGGTGATCTAATGTAGGCTCTGCCCTGAGGGGAACCAGACAGCAGAGTGGATGTGACCCAGCTACAATCATGATAGAACCCATGTTGCATGCCTGTTTCCACCCTGGGTCCAACTTCCCTGGGCAGGCTTTGGAGAGCAAGGCTGGAGGTGACCATGTCCTATTTGTAGGCAATAGAAAGGCCAGGCCTGCCAGCACTACCACTGCAGTCCCAGCAGAAACCACTGAGGCTGAGGAGTTCACGCCAGGGCCCAGGCTGTGTGAGACTAGAGCCCTCCCTCTTCCTGGACCCAGTATGACAAAGGAGCACTAACCAGCTGCCCAGTCGGCCATTTGTTTCACTTGCAGGGTCGTGACTACTTCTCCCAAGTGGCTTCTCTTCCTCCCCTTAGCCAACACCATGGTCCCTGCCCAAACCACAGTCCCATGTTTGCAGGGTCATGGTTGCTGCTCCTTGTGTCCTAAGACTGTCTGGCTGTGTCTGCTGGTGAGTGCCCAAACCCCATCAGGCCTGGCTTTCCCACAGCAGGGAGTGCTGACCTCCTCCCATATTGGTGGCCTCCCCAACAGTGGGGCCTCCATACACTCAACCCTCCTCTGCACCTGCCAGGAAGCTCTGCTGTACTCCCCAACCCCCAGGCCAGAAGCTCAGGGATTTCTCCCAGAGGCACCAATTGTTGTTGTTTTAAATCCGGAAAACACCACTAATTCGATTAGTCTCAGGTAACTTTAATGAAAGTGTCAGCAATCCTTTCCCCCCACAGTGGCATACAGATGGCTGAGCTCAAAAGCAGGATCACAGCTGCCAGGAGACCAGCCGCCCAGCAGGGAGAAGGCCAGGCTACAGACAGGAAGCCAAGCTACCTGCTCCCAGGACCCAGGCCCTGAGGCAAGAAAGCATCACTTTTTGCTTTAGAGACCTGCAGCCATACCTTGTGGACAGTTGCATTGGGCTCTGGGCCTTTGCTTGCTTTGTAGGGGGAAGGCCAAATCCCCTGATTCCTGGGGAACACCATATTTTTTCCAGCCCCACACTGGCTTAGCCAGCCAGCCCACAGGCCTGTGAGGCATGAGATAGAGTAATGGAGGCAGCTCCGGCTCCCAAACCACCACTGCTCTTGTGGCCTGGCCGTGGGGGAGCACTTTTATAACTACACGAGAAAGAGTGGTCATTCCATTGTTAAACAGCACACATCCTATATAAATAAAAAGTATAAAGAGGAAGGAATCCGGTGAAGGAAAGAGAATTGGCACAGACGATATATTGCTTTCCAGTTTCAAGGCGACAGATGCAAATCATGAGACACCAGAGGGAGTAGGTAGACACAAGGGCTGGGTTTGGCTTTTTTTAAGCAAAACCTGTCTCCCTTGCAGGGCTGGAGGGTAGCTGAGAGGGATGGGGATGGGCAGCCAGGTCAGAGGAGCCCACTGGGTCCAGAAATGTGCTGAGACAGAGGCTGATTTTGTCCACACCACCTGGGAAGGCGGCTCTGCTCTGAGAAAAAAAAAAAAAGCACAACTAAACATTGTATAGACGAGAAACTTCAAGTGACTTTGTTTTCTGCCCTCTGCTTTGGCAGGTTCAGAAGCAGAGGAAACAGTAGGAGATGCATCGCCCCTGGTGTCAGGGGTCTCCCTCATGTAGTGGGCTTTGCAGGATTTGCTCATCAACACCTTTCCCCTCCCCAGATGTGGGAAGGGTTATGGGACAGTGTCCTACTGGTATTAGTGTCCTCTTGTGACAACCGACATACATTTTCCTGAGTCATGCCGTTTCCCTCCTCTGATTAGCAGCATCCCCTCCTCCTGCAAGAGCAGCATGGAAACTGGACCTCTGTTTCCTTTCAGCCCCACTTTTTAAAAAAGTGATACAAACTGTTCATGGGTTTCCCTTTTACAAACAAGTTCATGGCCTCCCCGATTCTCTTTTCTCTAAGCCTGATGCTCAGGGAGAGTTAGAGAAATGTTCAGGCTCCTTCTGCAAAGATGCAGGGAACAGGGGGAGGGAGTGCGGCAGGCAGGCCTTTCCTCCCACCTACTTTGGGATGGGAACCCCCGTCCCATGCTTGGCCTTTTCCTAACCCATCATATCCTGATATGCTTGAGATGTCAGAATAAGAAAATGGAACTAGAGCTTACAGGAAGACAAAATGCTGCCGGGACACAGACTGTCCACGGAGTACATTCTAATATCTTATTAGGTATCTGAATCTGGTAGGAAAAAAATTAGAAACTATGTATAAAACTTAAAAATATTCAAGTATCAAAAAGCTATTTTGGATCAAAGTTTTAAAACAAGCTACCAGCCAGCTGCTGCTGCTGAGAAGAAATTTTTACAAAAGTTAACTGAGTCTGTTCAGTTGAGCCAGGAAATGAAGCCATCTGTGTAGAGGTTGAGAGTGCAGACAGTGAAGCCAGAGAAATCAGGGCCCTTTTAAACTGAAAAGGAGAGTGAGAGCCAGGTGGGCAGTCAGGATAGGTAGGCATGGTCACTCTCCCTGGAGAATGAATCATAAGGTGTGTGGCCTGGACCTCCCTCCCCCAGTGTCTGGTCCCTGCACATTTCATGGCTGCAGGTGGACTGCCTTCAGAGGAATGCACAAATAGCAAAAAATAAAGCAACAGGAAAGAGCAGAAAGCTGACCCATTTCTGGACAGAAATCCTTCTACAAAGAAAAAGAAGCAGGGAGTGAATGGAGGCATGACACTACACAGTGTTGAATTAGCTTCTCAAGTCCTGTTACAAATGGAGTCTAAGTTAGGGAAATCGGAATGCCCCTACCCATACAGGGACAGGGCTGTGGCCCCCACAGTATAAAGCAGCAGCAGTGTTTATTCAAGACACAATAATGAAGGAATCTGGTGGTGTTCCCTTCTCCCTGGAGAGGGTGCATCTTGACAAGAGATCCAGTAGAAATCTTTTAAACTCTGATAAATTAAGTTCATAAAAACCACTCCGCCTTCTCTCCCTGGAGCCAGGCCTGCACGCCAAGACGTGCTGGCTTGGGGCGCCCTCTGGTGGCGGCATGGAAAAACCACAGTCCAAGGCCAGACGTGTTTGCAGACCAACGGGATCTGTGCCAGCCACCTGGCCTTCTACTTTGGGTACTGTCTCTTGGCAGATGGCCTGGCTCTTGGGAATGGCCCAGTTACACCTCATGAAGGTTCGGTTCCCACTCTTCAGATGGCCCGTTTCACCACAGGTTCCCAGGCTGTTCTGTTGGCTTCTTGAGATGATGTTGGGCCTTTAGACTTCAGTGGAAAATAAGATGCTCTGTCTCTTACTGTCTGGGGCAGGTATGGCCTCCAGCTGCAGGAAGTACAACAGCACCTGGACCTGCCCAAGTAGAGTAGGGAGAAGAAAGTGGCTCAGAAGGTCACTCACTGCTACAGATAGGAAGATTTCTTGGCCCAAGCCCACAAGATCAGCTCAGGTGACATGAGCCCCTCACAGCAAGATACCTGGAATGAGGTTCCTAATGCCATAAGATGTGGGACTGTTTTAAGACTCAGGTCGAGTCTTAAAACAGGAGGACCAGGGGGTGGGCTTGGTTCTATGAAGTCCAGCACAGTACAGAAGTAGACACAGCAGCTGAGACTCTCCCTTCCCCTCTCAGACATATGGGCTTAGGCAAGACCCTCTCTCTTACTCATCACCTCTATACAATGGAGGTGGGAATAGCTGCTAGAATTTATGGTGGGACAGTTAGAGGCCACCTTGGTCAGGCCAGGTGGCATGGGCTGGAGCTCATCTCCCCATACCTGGGACATGACCTCCAAGGACCAGCTGTCAGTCATGGTAATGGGCTGGCTGGGGTTGGCAGGGAGTTTGCTCTCTTTCTCTGAGGGCCGGAGCAGTGTAGGACCAAACACTGTAGCGAGGTTGTGCAGGGACATCTTGTTCACGGTCTCCTTTTCAGCCACTCTGTAGAAGGACATAGTAAAGGGTGCTGTTTGACACCATCTTTGATACAGAGGTAAAGGGGTTGGGTCCTAGAACCCTCAGGGAACATGGCAGCAGGCAAGACCCCTTGCTGCCTTGTGCTGGTTCCACAGCACAATCATCTGGGGAGGGAGGGACCTCAACCTGATTGTGCTGAAAGCAGACTCCACCCTAGGACTTCTAGGTCTGAGGGGCCTAAGGAAAAGAGCACCCATGGCCAGGGGGCAGCTGGGCCAGATCTGGGACATGATCTGGGTGACTGCAGGGTCCAAGTACACTGCTGGCTATGGCTGAAGCACCTTGCTTTTCATTGAAGGCCATGATGCAGAGGGAAGAAGTCTCCGGGGAGTGGGGGTGAGTAACAGGGGTGGCAAGAAAAGACCTTTGGTCCCAGGGGATACTCCCACCCTGCTTCCTGGGGTCTTGGAACACTAGACCCCTATAAAAGACCCAGGGATACCTTTTCAGGTGGTCTAGAAGGAAGAGGAATGTCAGCAGGTTGGCTTCTGGGAGGGACAGCAGCAAATTGAGCATGCAGCTCTCCTTTGCAACAGGGTCTGAAAGAGCTGTACAGTAGGGCAGGGATTACTTCTCAGGGTCATAACCATGGCCTGGACACTTCTCTCAAGGTTGGTCAGATGGGATACTCAGGGCCTGTGTTCAAAGGTACTCAACAGTCCAAGCCAGTTGTCATCCTCACTCACACAGCACTAGTCCCCCAGTGAGGATGCTGTGATGGGTGTCTATGTGGGGGTGTGAGTTATCCTAAATGCATTCTGTCTCAAAGGGACAAACAGTATCCTATGCACCAGCAGCAAGAGGTACCATAAGAGGAACTGCTTATGGGCAGTGCTTCCTTGGGGCCATTTTCTGCTGCTACAGCATTCTAGGAAGAATGGGGGATGAGTGGGTAGAGTGGGGGATGAGGAAGGATACATAGCCCCAGCCCCACCAAACCCTGGGAGGCTTTCTCATTGCCCCTGTACGTATGGGACACTTTCAGTTCAGAGAGACCAGGTCCTTTGCTGAATGGGCCCTGGTAGGCATACTCGTTCTAGGGGTCATGTGGAGACTACCTCTGCCTCAGATGCTAGTCCCTGCCCTTTGGATATCTCCCTCCAGGTTGACTTAGGGTAAAAGCTGAGCTGGAAACCTCTGCTTGACTGGGCTACAACAGGGTTAAAGGGGTAGGGTATTCCCTAGCCTGGGAAGCAACATTCAACCCTGGTCTAAAGAAAGGAAAGTCTGTGGCATGTTCAAGGCAGTGCTAGCTGCTTCATCCTCTCAGTTTACTGTAAGGATTGGGACAGCAGGCGGCCCTCTCAGCATGGGTAAAGGCCCATGCAGTCAGATTTCTCTGGTCAGGGTGAAGCGTGGATCATAGCAGAAAGGCACAGCTCAGGCCCCTGCAAGGGTGGCAGTGGACAGGAAGGGAAGCTGCCTCTTGTGAGGCCTTCCGTGCTTACCAATGCCCTCAGCAAAGTTGGGGTAGAATTCATCAGTGAAGAGGGGCTCAGGCAGCTCACGGAAATAAAGCTTCAGCGTGCCTGCGATGGCGTTCACATCCATTTCACTCATCATCACTGATACATCCTTGTTATCTAGAAAGAACAGAGAAATGGAGAACCTCTACGTGGATGCCGAGTCAGGTTTTCTGCAATCCCCATCTTGGCTAACTGTCCTTGCGATGCTGAATGCTGTCTAGGTCCCTCCTTTTTGAGTGGTTCATCTTATTATTCCCCAGCATCTGCATGGTTCTGGGTCTGTGCAGGGTTGCAAGGGAAGTGAGTACATCCCCAGAACGCTCGCCTGTTCGGCAAGGTGCAGCCCAGGGGTGGAGCCAGATGCACCTGGCCAGGAGAGGCAGCAAGGCCAGTGGAGAACATGGCACCTGAGCAAGAATCAGGCCACTCTGCCCTGTATGTACCCAGGCACTGGCATCTTCCACTAATAAGGAGGCACTGGGATTACTTGAATCATTTTAGTATTTAAATAGGTGCCTTGCTTTGGGGTTGGATGGCCACTGGTCTTCCACACCACAGGTGAGGTCCACTCTGGTTGCCGAGAGGGAACTGGCACCACAGCAGGATCCAGCTGGAACTGCTAGTACCTCAAGGGCTCCAAGTCAGGATAAGCGGTATGTGCCCTGTGGAGAGCCTGTAGCCAGAGTCCTGTTGAGTCCTAGGTCTTCTGTAATTTCTCCTTTGAGAATACTGATCAAGGACCCTCTGGGGTATGAATTTTCTAGCCTGGCAACTGGGGCAATTCTTCCTTCCTTGTAGCATGTGAGGGTGGTTAAACAGGAGGAGACACCATAGTACCAGCAGGAGCTGGGTCATATCCATATCCCATGGCATCCTTAAACAGGCCATGGTCATACCACACTGACTGTGCGACTTCAACACCTCCTGTCCACTCCAATAGCAGCAATCTAACTCCCATGGAAACACCTGGTCCAACCTGTGTGTCTAGGATGGGTATTGAATAGGCTGTTGCTGCTTCTTTCTCTCCTGGCCCCCTTTTCAAGTCAAGGTGTTCCTATGTTGCCCAGGCTGGCCTCAAATTCCTGGGTTCAAGTGATCCTCCTGCCTCAACTATAGGTACCTGCCATTGTGTCTGGCTTGTCTCATATTTGTAAATAATGAAGTAATAAATAAAGAAAAGGTACAGAGAATGATGTGACAGGCAACAGGTTGTCCACCAGTCACACTTCCATCCCACGCTGCCCAGATGACACTCACTGACGTCAAAGGCTGCCTTCAGCGCCTGGATGTCTGTGGCCACTCCAGACACACGGTAGATGCCCACCTCCTCCATGCCCCGGCGTTCAATCTCCTCCACACACTGGCGCACGATGTAGGGCACTTTGGACCTCTCTCTCCTGTGAGGGAAGAGGAAACATCTTTAGTGCCCAGGCAGCCCTGTCACCTATCAGCCTACCCAGAAACAGGGGTGAGGAAGGTGCCCAGGTTTGGGACTGCACATAGAGCCTGTGTGTGCTTTCCTTACACTCTATGAGCTTCCAGTTATCACTGGGATTTCCTAAGGGCATGAAGCAGCTGAACACTTGCAAGTTATATGTAATTTTGGGGGAAGGTCAGGAGACTTTCTTACCTTCTTCCTTTTTTGGGGGGTGGTGTGTGTGTGTGTGTGTGTGTGTGTGTGTGTGTTTGGTGTTGGGGATTGAACCCAGAGCCTTTAAACGTGATAGGGAAATGCTCTGCCACTGAGCTACACCTCTAGCTCCAGGAAGTTTTTCTAAGTGAAGATAGCCACAGGAAGTGCAGTTAAAAGATCACAGGCCTGGGGCTGGACTTGTGGCTCAGTGGTAGAGAGTTTGCCTAGCATGTGTGAGGCACTGGGTTCAATCCCCAGTACCACATAAAAATAAATAAATAATCAAAAAAAATTTTTTTAAATGACACCATTAAAAGAAAAGATCACAGACCTTATAATAACAAGTGACCTTATGGTGTCCTGGAAAGCAGTCTTATCATCTGAGATGGGCAATCACACCTGGTCTCCATCCTGCCAACTGACTGCTATATGAAGTGAATCCTCTGGTCCCTCTATGTCTCCTTGAGAGACGAGCCCTACACGTGGCAAGCCCTCAACAAGCATCTACTGAATGAATGACTCCACAGGGTTGCCTAAGCATCTCGTAATTCTGACTGCTTTTCTCCTCTGACTCTAAGAAACAGATGATTCTAGTGTCTCCATCTATGTAGGACTCTGGAGCAAGAATACTTCAAAGACAGAAGTCAGCCTTAACTTCAGTCTTGTTTTGCAACTGGATTTAGGGGCACACCAAAACTCTTTCCCAAACCACCCAAAAAGCTCTAAGCATGAAAACAGAACCCCATCCTCAGCTCTCAAATAAGCACCTTCAGGCCCCTGTGTTGGGGGAGTGGTTTAAGCTGAGGGCAGAGTTCTTGTCTACTCATGTCCAGAGCCTTCCAGAAGTGCCACAGGAATCGAAGTGGTATTTATTTATTTTATACTTTTGATACTGGGAATTCACCCCATGTGCACTTTAACCACTGAGCTCCATCCTTAGCCCTTTTTATTATTTTTTTTTAAATTTTAAGACAGAGTCTTAATAAGTTGCTGAGGCCGGCCTCAAACTTGCAACCCTCCTGTCTCGGTCTCCCAAGTCCCTGAGATTACAGGCCTATGACATAACAGGTATGGTATTTAGACATAAGTGCCTGGGGAATGAATGACACAAGCCCTGGCCAGTAAGGTCAGGGCCCAGCCTGATTCCATCCTGGGGAAGTGAATGAAATCTGGGAGGAAGTGGTCTGTATCCCCGAGAATTGCACTGAAACTAACAAACAAGCCTGTCCTGGCAACTGACTAGTGACAAAGGGGTAGAGGTTACAATCATTCAACAGGAACCTGGGATCATGACAAATTCCAAGCGAGGGAAGCAAATCCACACTTGGGCAGTTCCTGGAGTCTAGCAGGAGCCAGCAGACTGCTTCCAAAGGAAGGAGACAAGGACATTCCTAAGCTAGTTTTGCAGTAAACACAGGAGGTAGCTAAGTATACAGAATGTTCCCAGGGTCCTGGGAGGCCTCCCTGTGGAGAAATCATGCATAGAGGCGAGAGAACCATGCCTGCTCTTTCCTTCAGAAACTGAATTTCAGAGACACACTCTCGATGCAGGAGCCCACACCCATGCCACTCACTTGGTGACCACGGCAATCTTGACTCCAAACACCCCTGTTTGTTTGCGGGACGGCATTCTCTTCAAGCTGAATTCCCTGCTTGTGAACTTGACAGAAAGTTTCACTTCAATCTGCAAAGGGAAGAAAGGGAGTAGGTCTCTTACTTCTTCTGGTCCCTGGAGCCCGAGGTGCCAGAGGTCCCTGGGAGTCTCAACAAATCTTTGTACTCCCAGGGCAAGCAGCTCAAGGTTCTAGAGTGAGGTGAGGCCATTCTTGAGGTAAGAACCTGGTCCAGTTCAGCAAGAGCCACAAACAGTTTGGATGGTTTTAAGAAATGGCTTGTCCAGAATTTTCCCTAAAATCCCCATTGCTTCTTTTTCTTTTTAATGGAAGACTGAATCCAGGGGCACTCAGCCACAGAGTCACATCCCCAGCCCCATTTGTTTTTTTTTTTTGAGACAAGGTCTTGCTAAGCCCAGCATGTTCAGAACCTGGGCTCTGACTGCATGTATTCCAGCCACCAAATGAAAAACATTCTTTCCTGGGAAAAATGATTCTGCTCTGCAGTGGCCTCTCCCTCGCTAAAATTACCTAGGCTGACCTCAAACTTGTGATTCTCAGGCTTCAGCCTCCCAAGTTCCAGAGAGTACATAGTTGTGCAGCACCATGCCCAAACTTTCTTTCTTTCTTAATAACAATTTTAAAAAATAAGTGAATGGAGCTTGGCATGGTGGTACTTGCCTGCAATCCCAGAACCTCAGGAGGCTTCAGGCAAGAGGCTGCCAGGTTCACTGCCAGCCTCAGCAATTTAGTCAGACTCTGTCTCAAAATAAAAATGTCTGGGGATGTAGCTCAGTGGTAGAGCACCCTGGGTTCAATCCCTGGTTCATCGAAATAAATAGTGAGTACTGGGGGTGTGGCTCAGTGGTAGGACACATTATTAACGTGTGAGATCAGAGTTTCAATACCTAGCACCAACAAAAAGGTAAGAGACTAATATAACACTTTATCGTATATGTCCAGGGCTTTTTTAGTGTGTGGTTTTGTTTTTGCAGTGCTAAAACTGAGCCATATCCAAGCCCTAGGTGTTTTTTGTTTTCTTAATAGATTGAGCATACCTCATCTGAAAATCTGAAATGCTTCAAAATCTAAAAACTTTTTGGGCACTGACATGATGCCACAGTGGAAAATTCTACACCTGACCTCATGTTTTGTGGGTCAAAATACATAAAATTACCTTTAGGCTATGTGTATAAGATGTAGAAAATATAAATGCATTTTGTGTTGGCTTTTCTCCTGTCCCCAAGATATTACATGCAAATATTTCAAAATCAGGAAAACAAAACAGATTCATATTCGAAATGCTTCTTGTCTGGAGCATTTGGGATAGAAATACTCAACCTATACAAATCTTCCTGGGGTAGCTGAAGACTATCCAGGGACCTCGGTCGCTATAGAAAAATCTCAGGGGGCTGGGGATGTGGCTCAGGTGGTAGCGCGCTCGCCTGGCGTGCGTGCGGCCCGGGTTCGATCCTCAGCACCACATACAAACAAAGATGTTGTGTCCGCTGAAAACTAAAGAAATAAAAAAAAAAAAAAAAAAAAAAAATCCCAGGGCCCTGGGTTGAGGCTCCACTTGTCAAGAGTGGCACCATGAGGGCTGGGGATGTGGCTCAAGTGGTAGTGCACTCGCCTGGCATGCGTGCGGCCCCGGTTCGATCCTCAGCACCACATACAAACAAAGATGTTGTGTCCGCCGAGAACTAAAAAATAAATATTAAAAAAATCTCTCTCTCTCTAAAAAAAAAAAGTAGCACCATGAGATCTTTCAGGAGTATGCTCAGAACCTGGGCTCTGACTGCATGTATTCTAGCTACCAAATGGAAAAGATTCCTTCCTGGGCAAAATTATTCTGCTCTGCAGTGGCCTTTCCTTCTTTCAGCCACACTTTCTCTCAGATATGAGCTCAGAGTTAGCTTCCTTCTGATTGTTTTGGAAGGAATCAGGCCTCCTAGCCCTGCTAATAACATACCCCATTCATGGCGATGACGGTCCGCTGCCAGTCTCTGTCCTGCAGGGCCTGGGGGTCCAGCTGAAATCAAAAGAGACATGATTAACAGAGGTTTGGGTATGTTCAGAGGCCCTGCCCAGCAGTGGCCCACACCTGCTACTGCTCCATAGTTAAGTTAGAAGCACAGCCAAATTGTGACCAGCACCTCTATCGAGAGGCCCAGAGGGATCCAAAGAGAAGAGAGGACCTGTTAGAAAGCCCTGGAGCCTCAGGGTCCTACTACTCCCAGACCTTTGCTACCTGGGCCTGATCTTGCCTCTGGGTATGGGGGCAACAGCTCAGGATCCTGTACCCCCTCACCATAGGACTGCTGTGAGACACTCTGTGAAGGGCAAGTGGTTAGTATAAAGGACATTTTGGAAAGCCCAATTTCAGCAGCAACTTTGAGGGACATGGCATCCAAGAGCTGCTGTCCTGGGGATGGTGGATACTGTTTTCTCCCTGTGCCATGGTTTGGCTTGTAATGGGAAAGGCTTCCAGGCCAGGACTGTCCTACGACTTAATTTAAGAGTCAGGCCCAGAAAAATTTAGAGCCTAGCCCCAAATCACACAGCAGGGACCAGAAGGAAGCCTTTCTAATAATTCTGATCTCCATAAGACACTGTCTAGAGGCTGGTCTGCAGGAACCTCCCACTAAATTTCACCTAAATAACAAAGTCTCTTGCCCAGGCCACCTGCCCCCCATCCATGAAGGCTCTCTAGCTGCTTTTTGGTGAGCACATGCTCATATCAGCAGCTACTAAATACAGCCAAGGATACTGGCCTGGCAATAAGCAGCTCAGAGATTCTTGTTAAAAAAAAAAAAAAAAAAAGAAAAGAAAAAAGAAACAACAACAACAACAAAATACTTCCCAGGGTTGGAGATGTGGCTCATAGGTAGGATGCTTGTCAGGCACAATAGGGGCCTGGGTTTAATTCCCAGAACTGCAAAACAAAAAGCATCACCCTGGGTTCTATCCCCCAAAGGATTAGAGTCGTGTTCCCAGGTGGGACCTGGAATTTGCACAAGTAGAAACCTTCCCAGACTGGTGTGAAGCCAACACCACAGAACATGGCACACATCATATATACACTTCCTATATGGTCTTCTGTTCTCAGTACCTGCTTCAGGTGATGGTTCATTTCTCCTACTAGGCAAGCCACTTAAGAGTAGGGACCACACCACAGCTCATGATTTCTGCACACATGCAAAAACACACTTGCATGCACACACACAACAGTGTTAAGCACAGTGACCTGGGCCTTCTGCAGATGATACAGGTAGAAAACAAGGAGGGATTCAAGAGTAGGTCAAGAGGCTCAGCTGCCTCTACCACTCAGGTAGGTGCATCTGGGCCTCTCTCCCTGTATCACAGGCATTCCCAGGAAATGAGCCCTCCTCACCTTCCCTTGTGGATCCTTCTGGTTAACGTTTTCAAAAGATATGAAATGTATACCAGAATCACATAGAAAACCCAAAGGTGGCAGAATCCCTCCCTTAAGGGACTGTGTGGTCACAGGTTCCTAATCTGCATCTGCCTGGGGAGGTTTTCAAAGGCCACGTTCCAGACCATGGGGAACCTATTCTGAGAAGCAAGGTCTGTGAAGAGGGATCAGTTAATTATAAACCACCCAGAAAAAGAAATCCCCCTAGAGGTGCTCTCTCTCAAGACCAAACCTCAAGCCTCCTCCTCTAAGAGATGCAGAAGAGGGATGACATCAGGCCCTTCCCAGTTCTGGGACCAGCAGAGATGTCCCTCCATACCAGACCAGGTATGACTAGAAGAGACAAGGGATGTGTAGCTGCTGGCTGGTCACCCCTAACTTCTGTCCTGGCTGCTCAAGAAAAGTGATGTGGTGCCCTTCTCTCTTCAGCAACAAGTTAACAGAAACCCAGAAGCACGTTAAACAGGACAAATACCTCCCTTTCCCTTCAGAGAACAGCAACCAAGGGGTCCCTTGCCCTAAAAAAATGGCAGGATTGGCAAAAGCCATGGACAAGTAGCCCCGAGTTTGGAAAAGCAGAGGGGCAGAGGGAGCAGTTGTTTAAGACAAGCAGGTGACAGGGACCCTTTCCCTCCCAGCCTAATTCGGAAACCAAAGCCCATTTGCTGGCCCACCTTGCCCCTGCACACCAGGTCTCGGATATGGGTCCACAGGGCAGTGCCTCGTGCATACAGGTGCTTTTCGGCAGAGGCTACCAGGCTCCGTCTTGCTCGGCGGGGGTGTAAGTACTGAAGGAGGCCCTGCATCGCAGCAGGGGCAGACAGTAATTCTCTCATCCTCAGCTCTGAGAGGTCCACAGGGGCTGGACAGAAGCACAGTGGCCAGCTCCCAGTCTCTGCTGCCTTTTAACCAGGCTCCAAGGGAAGCCCCACCCCCTGCCTGGCTGGCCAAGGTCGAAGCTTCCCATCACCCCCGCATTCCATTTTTTTGTTTGTGTATGGGAAAAACAACACCCACCCCCAACAGGAGCCTATTGGTTACGGGAATTCCAATGTGTCTTGCTCTCCTCTTCAGCCCAGAAAAGCCATGCTTCCTTCTCAAGTGGCTGTTTCCTGTAGTCTGGATTTGGAGACACTTAGTAACATGTGTGACTGGTCGGTCCATTTCAGGCTAGGAGTACCCTAGAGATTGCCCCAAGGCCTGCACACCCCCCACCTTACAACCCAATAATCACACATGCTACTTCCAATGAACCCAGGGCAAAAAACCACCTGCATGTGGTCCCTGCTCCCCTGAGCAAGCTAGCAGAGTGATGAGGGGTCCTACACAGGGTTCCAACTATTGTCTACTCCTGAACACTGACATCTAGCACCCATCCCTGTCTGGTCCTGATGCTGCTAGGCCAGTTCTTCACCAGATCTATCTGTAGCTTGGCATGTTGGCCTCTGGGCATCCAGACCCTGTGGCAGCCCTAAATTAGTGGATCCAGCAGGAAGGGCCACCCTGAAGTTGGCTCCGCGCCAAAGAACAGAGTGTGCTTAGCAGAGTAGAAGCTGCACAAAGAATAGCACAATGATGAGGCCTGGGCCTCAGAGAAGTCCAACTCCAAACAGCATTCAAGGCTGGCACACTCTCTCATGCAGTTATGTAAAGCAACAGAGAGAAAAAACAAGAGACTGGGATTTGGAAAAACTGACGATGGAAGAGAGAGCATTGGGAAACAGCAGTCAGGGAAAAACTGAGGCACTCCGGATGCTGTTGAGGGTTCCCTCGGGAATGCACTTGATATTGAATGGGGACTAGTCAGATCACATCTGGTGGCCTTGATGGATGGTCTGGGTCACTGCTTATCTAGGTCACTGCTTGTCTCCTCAGGGGTTAGGCAAGGAGTCTCAGAAGAACAGTGAATGGTGGGGCTGATAGACAGTTGCCCAGAGTCCTGCCAATAAAACTGTCCAGCATATCCGTCCCAGGAGGGTAAGGGGGATGGGGGAAGGCTCACGCCTAATTGGGGTGGGCACTAAATGAGGCCCTAAAGTACCCCAACTACATTGCATTGCTGAGGGCCAAGTGCTGCCCTGCTTGCTCTGTAGTCTGTAATAGCCAGATGAGCCACCGAAGATGACCACAGGGCATGATCTCACCCACCCTAGCAGGGGGTTGGGCAGGGCATGACTCAATTGTCCAAAGAAGGAAATGTTTGTTCTCGCCTTACTTGCTTCCTCATAGACAACAGCTTCCTCTATACCCACTGTTATGGACCCAGATGGTCCAGCAGGGCATCCCCAGTTACTCCTGTCTTCATATATTTGCATCATAACCCACTTACTCCCAGGGTGGGTCTTTGCAGAGATCACCAGAGAACCAATGTACTTGCTGGGAGAGAAATCAGGCCTCCTGCTATGGTACTCCCTACCCTGTTCTCCCAGTGACCCTAATCTGTTCTCTTGGGCTTTAGCACAGCATTAACTCTCTGATTGCAGAGAAGCTCCAACATCACTTAAAAAAAAATAAAAAATAGGGCTAGGGGAGTACGGTAGAGCATGTACATAGCAAGCAGATCTTGGACTTGATCTTTAGTTAAAAAAAAAAAAAGGGGGGGCAGCCTAACCCCCATGAATGGCTATAATAAAAAAAAAATGGGACAATAACCAGTGTAAATAGGATATGGTGAAATAAGAACCCTCATACATGGTCACTTGGGATGAAAAGGGTGCAGCCACTGAGGAAAAAGTAGCACAGTTTCCAAAAGTCAACTTGCTGCATGACCCACCAATTCCACAGGTGTCTACCCAAGTACAGAAATACTCATCCACCCTAAGACTTCTACCTACAAGCATGTGTTCACGGCAACAACAACCAAAATAGCCCCAAAGTAGAAGTAACTCAAGTGTCCATCAACAGGTGAGTAGAAAAGCAGAGTCATGGGATATATATGTGGTGGAATGTTATTCAGCCATTACTGATAATGCTATGCATGGATGATCCTCAAAATAATTATGCTACATGGAAGGAACCACTTATGGTGTGATTTTGTTTATGGGAAATGTGCAGAATGAGCAAATCCCTATAGACAAAAAGTAGATCAACCTGATGCTCCTGTTAGAATCTGAGTTGTGAACCCAGCAAGACACACAAAAGATCAGGAGAAATGGAATAGCAGGGGACATGGGAGAAGACAAAATTCCATGGCTTGACATAAACTTACCCCCTAAGGAGAAGGAACAGGGATATGGGAGAAAACCTAGAAAATTCACAAATGGTAATGAAAGAAAGATGACTGAAGGAAGAAATTCCTAAAAGCTGTGAGGCTCCATGTGCCTTGGGTTTTGCTGACTCTGGCAACTCTCTAGATCCTGGTCTCAGCCCAGGATGTGCTGGGACACCTGACAGTAACTTTGGGCTGGTCTCAGAATTAGGATGCTAAGGACTTGTAAAGTCCTTCTCTGAAGACAGACTCAGTTCCCTCCTCTGTGCCCTGTAAAAAACTGTGCCATCTGAGCCACTGGTGGCCCCTGCAGCAGGGCCTGGCTCTTGGCACAAGCACAATACCTTTCTTTTTGAGCCTCTCTGCTCCTGAACTGTGAAGCCTGGGT